TTATTATTATTATTATTATTATTATTACTATTACTACTACTACTACTATTATTATTAGTATTATTATTGCTTCTATTATTATTGTTGTTGTTTATAATTATTTTTTATAATTGTTGTTTATAATTTGTATAATTAACCTCCCTGTGGTTCGACCCTGGTCTTGCCGGGTTATTTATTACTTCGACACTCCTGCACTTGGGAGAAGACATCAACCTTTTAGTCGTGTCACAGTACCTTCTAAGTCATCCTCTAATCATCAGAATAAGCCTTACACAAGAGTTGGCTTCGATAAGTGCAGTTTCTATAAGCAGAAAGATTATTGCAAGGCTTAGTATCCCAAGTTGAGACAACAGAATCAAGCTTAAAAGCATGACAGACAATCACAATCTAATGCTTATAGACCAGCTCAGGGTTATAAACCCCCCACTCCACAATACTACAGCAGTAGTTTCATCAAGCTCTTTTACCAATCCTAGTACTCTAGCTGAGCAATTTCAGAAGTTTCTCTCCTTATAGTCATAAGCAATGTTTGCTTCTTCTTCCATAGGTCAGTTGCCTCATAAATCCTCAAGTATGTCACATTTTAAATAGGTCTTAGATTTCAGTACTTCTCATCATATGTCTCCAGATTCTTCATCTTTTACCTTTATATTCCCTTCATCCTCCATTCATATTATGATTGTTGATGGCACTCACATGCCTTTAGCAAGTGTTGGTTATGTTGTCACACCTTACTTGTCTCTTCCTAATGTTTATCTTATTTCAAACCTCAAATTGAATCTTGATTTTATTGGTCAAATATGTGATTTTGGTGATTAGTTAGTCATGTTTTCTAGTTCTTTTTGTTGTGTATAGGATCTGCAATCTTAGAAGTTGATTAGGACAAGTCATAGGGAGAATAAATTATATATTTTAGATGAGTTAAAAGTGCTAAGAATAAATTATATATTTTAGATAAGTTAAAAGTGCTAGTTGTCGCTGCCACCACTACTACTACTATTGATTTGCCTTCATTTCTTTTGAGCCCTTCATCTTCTAGTTTTTATTTATGGCACTCTCGTCTAGGACATGTTTCGTCTTCTCGTTTAAGATTTTTGGCATCTACAAGAGCTTTATGAAATTTAAAAACTTATGATATTTCTAATTGTAGTGAATGTAAATTTGCAAAATTTTCCACTTTACCTTTTAATCAAAGTTTTTATGTCTCTTTTTTACCTTTTGATTTGACTCATTTTGATGTATGAGGACCTTCTCCTATTTTCATAAAAAGAGGGTCTCGATATTATGTTTCATTTATTGATAATCATACTCATTATTGTTGGGTTTATTTAACAAAACAATGTTTTGAATTCTATGAGATATATACAACCTTTCGAGCTCTTGTGAAAACTCAACATTCTACTGTAATCAAATGTTTTAGGTGTGATTTGGGTGGAGAATACACTTTTGATAAATTTTATCAGTTGCTTGCCTTAGATGGAACCATTTACCAAACTTCATGTACAGATACTCCTGAGCAAAATGGTGTTGCTAAAAGAAAATATAAGCATATTGTTGAAACTACTTGTTCTCTCTTGTTGTATGTTTATATTCCTAGTGAATTTTGGGGAGAAGTTGTCCTTACTACTGTAAGTTTGATTAATATAATCTCATCTTCTCATAGTTCAAGTGTGTCTCATTTATAAAAGTTATATAGGCATATCCTTGATTATTCCTCCTTTAGAGTTTTTAGTTGCACTTGTTTCGTTCTTCGTCTTTATGTAGAACATAGTAAGTTATCCTCTTGTTTTGCTATTTTTGTCTTTCTGGGTTATGGTGAATGTAAAAAGAGGTATCACTGTTTTCATCCAATAACTCATAAATTTTATATGTCGCGTCATGTTGTATTTCTTAAGCATATACATTTCTTTTCTATTCCATCTACTACTCATAACTTGACTAGATATGATATTATTTATATAGATTTTTTTTTAAGATTCTAATAATATATCATCACATGTTCCTAGTACCTCATATACCCTTTCTCATATTCGACCAATTTATATTCATCATCCTACAGGTACTAACACTTTACTCTTTGACACACCTAAAGCTTCATTCTCATCTACACCCCTCAAGCTTCATCTAAGATTATGGATCCACCTCAACGCCAATCTATACACACTTATAAGTCCACAAAACTATCAGATTTTGCTTATTCTTGTTATTTTTCATCATTTATTTTCTTTTTAATTTTTATTCATTGTCTCTCTCAGCCCTTTTCCTATAAAAAAGCAATTCTTGATCCTTTTTGGCAGCAAACTATGGATAAGGAACTTTCTGATTTACGTAAGACAAATACTTGGGACTTGGTTCCTCTACCTCTTGGTAAAAGTATTGTTAGTTGTTGTTGGGTGTATAAAATCAAGACTAACTTTGATGGGTCTATTGAGCAATACAAAGCTAGGTTGGTTGTAAAAGGATACTCTCAATAGTATTGTATGGATTACGAAGAGACATTTGCCCTTGTTGCAAAAATGACTATTATTCGTACTCTTATTGTTGTAGTTTTGGTTTGTCAATGGCATATCTCATAACTTGATGTTAAAAAATGCCTTCTTTAATGGAGATATTCAAAAAAAAGTTTATATGATGTCTCTTCCTAGTGTTTCACATCACTCTAGGTATGTTTATAAGCTCAAGAAAGAGTTATATGGTCTTAAACAAACACCTTGTGCTTAGTTAGGGAAATGTTTTGTTATGATCTCATCTCTTGGATTTGTTTCTACTAGTCATGATTCTGCTCTTTTTGTTAAGAACACTGATGCAGGTCGTATCATTTTATTCTTATATATCGATAACATGATTATTACATATTTGTTGTTACCCAATTCTTGACTCATGTTTTTGATAAATTTTCAGAAAAAAAAACCAAAAATAGAAAAAAAAACAATGAAAATCTAAAAAATATGTTTTTTAATATATTTGTATCGTTTTTAGCATTTTCAACATCGTTAAAAAAATAATTTAAATTTTCAAATGTCTTTCAAACACGTTCGACTTTTAATGGGTCATTTTTAAAATCATTGATTTTGCCCCTTGGGTCAGCATTGACATTACTTGTTTTCAAAAAGTATTAAAAATAGAAAAATCAAAATCAACACAAAGAAAGAGACAGAATTAAGTGGGTCACTAAGATCAAGTTCTCAAGATAATCAAGTTCCTGGTTGACAGGAGATTGTTGTAAAGACATAATTCCAAATCAACTAAGTTTTGAGAATATCAAGATTGGAAGTTCAGCTTTGTTTATTTTTACAAAACTTACTATATAAAGTCTTTGCTCCGTAAGTATTGTAAAGAGCGAGCATTTGTTGTTACCTATTTTTGGCTTTCCACACAAAAAATGAGAGAATATAAGAAAAAAATATATAAAAAAATATTCAAAAGAAATCAAAAAAATAAGAGCGAGAAAAAGATGTTGGAATGCTTATAAAATGGCTAGAAATTAGTTAAGGGGGTTCAAAAATACAAGAATTAAAATTTGACAGTATATTTTTTACTGATAAAAGCTCCTGTTGATAAGAAAAATTAAATTTGAAAAAGAAAAGTTCAAAATCAGATGTTTATGAACTCAATTAAATTTTATTGAAAGTTTAATTGAATTTATGGAGGGTTTGATTATAAGAAAAAATATTTTTAAGTCAATTTAGGCTTTATGGGAAAGAAATTAAAGTTCAAAGATCTAGTTACAATTTATCGAAGGACTTGATTACAAAAGTTCAAAACTTGTATGGCCAAACTGAAAATGGTCATCTCAAAACAGCCATTTAAAATGGAAAACAAAGCCATTTCATGGACAATTGTTCATTACCTTCTTCCTCATCAATTGTTTCAAGCAATAGAAATATTAGAGACGCTTCATCATTAAAGGCATTGAAATCAAGTCGGTCGTTACCAGCACAAGGCCTTCTCTGGCCTATAAAAGCAAGGAGAAAAGAATGAGATAGAGAAGTGAAAGAAAAAAATAAAGAGGACAGAAAAAAAAAGCATAAGAGAAAGAGAGGGGAGTACAGGGAAAAGAAATAGAGGAGAATCTAGAGGGGGACCGAGATGAACACAGATGAGAAAGGCTAAAAAAATAACAGAAGTTAAAGAGAGGAAACCAGAGGAAGAAGTTAAAGAGAATAACAGAAGGAGAACGAACAAACATAGGAGTCTTGAGCTAAGGATAAATGACCGAGATGAATATAGATGAGGAAGGCTAAAAAAATAAGTATCAGCCGTCATTGCCACCACAACATCGCCACTGCTAATGATTGCACCGCCAATGCCACTGTCAGGTCAGCCTCTCTCTCCTTCTCCCCTTCCTCTGTTTATTTTTTGTTCGTCTTCATTTACATGCAGAACGTGAGCAATTCACCTTCTATAACTAATGAAATATAATTAGATGGTTAACCACCTAATTATAATTCACTAGTGTAACTAATGAAATATAATTAGGTGGTTAACCACCTAATTATAATTCACTAGTTACAGTGCTGAACACAGTAACCAACAACCAATATATTGGTTGTTTCGGGTTGGAACATCAGACCACCAACGCGGCTGGTCTGAGTCCAGCCACAAGTAGGTTCTCTCTTGGGCCGGTTCTGGCCCGATTTCATATGGGTCGAGTTGGGTTTAGCTTAAAAAATTCTTTAAAAAATATTTTAAAAAATCTGTGATTTTTCAAAAATATTTTACTGCATTTTGATAAATATTGGTTTGTATTTTTATATTGTAAAAATACAAATCCAGTAATAAAATATCTAATTTTTGTCAAAACATTAAAAAAATATTTTTGTTTTCAAGCATACGGCCAAGTCAAAAATAAAAGAAAAAAAATCATATTGTATTTTCTTATAACAAAGAAAATTTCAAAAATATATATTAGCATGCATTTTGCTTCAATAACCAGTTTATTAAAGTCATGAAGAACGAGACCAATATTTCAAAATTTTCAAAAAAATTATTTTGTTCTCTTTTAGTATCTAGAGTTACGATCTTATATGTAAGACGTATTCTGGATATTAAATTCATTTGTTGACATTAGAATGGTTAGATTTTACCCAATAAGTGATTAGTACTTAAAAGTGCATTTTTTTATCAAGGTTTTATATCATCATTTTGCACTTGAAGTATCAATAACTCCTTAAATAAAGCATGTTTTATAATAACATATCTAATAACATAAGATACCTTTAATTTGTGCTAAAAATTTATTTTAAATGCAGGCCTATCACAAAAATGAAAAGATTGATTGATGAATTTAAGAACTGAAATTGAAAGGATAAAGAGATGGCCAAACTTAGAAAAGTGATGTCAGTGCAGTCCAAATCGAAATACTATTCGATAATTGGGTCATATCTTGAACTGTAGATCTTAGATTTAAACATACTTTATATGGATGGAAAGGTAAGACAAACATATTTTATATGGATGGAAAGGTAAGACATAGGCCTACAACTTTCATATGGAGCCCAAGATCTAAAAAGGCCATTATCTAGTCCAAATTGTAGCAACAACAAAGAAGTCTGAATCTGTCTTCCAGCCCGAGCACTATTCAGTATTTGGCTTATATCTGGAGTTATAGAAGTCCAAATGAGCTGAATTTTTACACAAGAAAGCTGAGACAATTGCCTACAACTTTCATGTTTGCAACTAGATCCAATTTTGACGTTATCAATGAAGTTTTGGGCAGACAAGAGAAGATAAAGATTGTCACCAAGTCAAAAGTTGGCCACCCACTTATCAATTAGTCATCAAATCAATAGTTCCCAATTTTGGCCTATAAAAGGAGACATTTGCCATGCAAGCATCTTGGTTTCTGGATTAAAATCATGTTCTTACTTTCTCTTTTTGTATTTTTTGTAATGTTTATGCTTTGCTTTCATTAATATTAAGTTTATGCCTTTCATTTCCTTTCCTTTACTTAGTTAACTTTTATGTTCTTATTTTGTTTATCTATTTTGCTTTCTTTCATTATGTCTAGCTAAGTTAGTTATGTCAAGGTGAAAAGGTTACACTAATGGTGTAAGAATAAGTATAATGTAAACTTAATATGGACTTTAATGTTTGATACTAACATGTTTTATATTTGTTATCTTGTTCACTCTTTAATACTTTGCTTGTTAAATGACTAATCTTGATTTATGTTGTATAACACTTGGTACAACAAATGCTTGGCACTTTCATAGCCCATAATGTATGGTATAACCGACACCTGAGCTATGAAAGGATCTCCCTACCGAGGAGAACTTATCTTAAACCATAAATGGACCAACAACTAGAAAACATGACAATACCTTAGATTTTATCAGACAATTAAACAATGAAGCCTATCTTAGATAAGGTGTTTTTGGGGTGTTAATACCTTTTTTTATACAACCAGTCCCCATACCTGATCTTTGAGATCAGTTAAGGTTCTTAATAACCAAAATACTAGGTAGTGACTACCATTCTATTTTTTCACAGATAAAAGACAAGAATTCCTTGTCTCCCCATATTTGCTAGATAGCTAGATAGATAATACAATTATGAGGGTGGATGTTTTCACCACGATGCCGCACACATGCGACAACATTGATGTTATCTTTCTTTTGAAGACAAAGCTTGTTAGACAATTTGAAATGAAGGATTTTGGTTCTCTTCGATATTTCTTAAGTATTGACGTAGCTTACTCACCTAGAGGTTACCTTCTTTCTTAATTGAAATATGTTACAAATACTCTTAAGCGAGTTAGACTTACTAATAACAAGACTATAGACATTCTCATTGAAGTTCATGCAACATATTCTTCTTCTAATGGTTTTTGCCTTTGACAGATCCTACTTTATATCTTATTATTGTTAGGAGCTTGGTGTATCTCACCATTACTTGTCCAGACATTACATATGTTGTTGATGTTGTTAGTCAATTTATTGCTTCTCCTACTATTATTCACTGGGTAGTTGCTCTTCGTATTTTATGATATCTTTGAGGTATAGTTTTTCAGAGCCTCTTACTTTTATCCACCTCTTCCTTAGAGCTGCGTGGAGACTCTAATGCTGATCATAGTAGTGATCCCACAGATTGCAAATCGGTTACTGGTTTCTGTATATTTTTAAGTGATTCTCTTATCTCTTGGAAAAACTAGAAACAATCTATTATTTTCTAATCCTCAACCGAAGTAGAATACTGTACTATGACATCTACTACCAAAGAGATTATTTGGTTACGTTGGTTACTTATGGATATAGAAGTTTCACTTTCTCATCCTCCTCCTATGTATTATGACAACCAAAGTTCTATTTAGATTGCTCACAACTCAGTTTTTCATGAACAAACTAAGCACATTGAGATTGATTGTCATTTTACTTGTCATCACCTTAAGCATGGCACCATTACTTTGCCTTTTATTTCTTCTTCCTTGCAGATTTCTTTACCAAGTCACATTCCATTTCTTGTTTTTGTTTTCTAGTTGGCAAAATTTTGATACTTGTAACTTCCACATCGTGAGTTTAAGGGGAAATGTTAAATAATATATTTATCTTATTTTATGTATTAAGGGTTGAATAATATTTTTAACTTAACATGTGTGTGTGTGCGCGCGCACACATGTGTGTGTGTTGGGATGTTGTCATTTAATGGGCAACAACCTTTGTAGCCTATCCTAAAAAATAAGGTTGTTATTGTCAAAAGGTTACATAATAGTTGCACCAACCATTGATAAAAATAGTGCATCTCATGTGCTGCCACCATTTATGCCATAATTTATGGCCTCTTTTCTATCATAAATTACCTATAAATAGAGGCATTATTTGAGAGCAAAATAAGAAAAAGAGAGAGAAAGTGCAAAATATAAGAGAAGAAGAGAGAAAGAGGAGTGGCTGTCAAGGGCAGCAGTGTGTGAAAGCAATGAGAATTAAGTTTGAGTAAAGTTGTAATATTTTGAATTAAAGAGATAGGAAAAGGCTAGAAAGCCCTTGAAGGCTTATATGTAGGAATAAATTAAATGCGGGGTATAGTAGTAATTGAATAAAGAGATGATAAATATAAATAGAAAGTAAAAAAATAGATCTGAAATTTTAAGAGCGCAAATAGGTAGGAGAGAAAGGGGAAGGAAGAAAAAAAAGAGAAAACAGGGAAATTATAAAGGAAATAGAAAGGAGTTGAAGAAAAATAAGTTTAAAAGTAAGATTTAGGTTTATAAATGTATAAATGTGTTCTTTGAACTCTAAATTTCAGTTTTGATGAATGTTAGGGTTTTTGAAATTTATGTTTTGGGTTTAATTGATGAATTAATTTGAATGTTAGGAGTTAATTGTTGTGAGTAATTGATTATTTAGTTGATTATAGAAGATTGTGATGATTTTGAGTTATGAATTGTGTAAATGGTGAAATTGAGTTAGAAATCTAGAAAGAAAAGTAGGTTTTATTTTGAAATTATGGGTTGGAGGTTGAAGATGATAAAATTTTGGTTTGGTCTCTCAATTTGCAAAAATTTTAGTTTAGTCCCCAAACTTTGGAAATTTTAAAAATTGGTCCTCGGAGCATATTCCAAGATTATGAACAGAATAACATATGAATTATGGGCAGAATTAGAGTTATGAATTTTAAACACTTTCAATTTGGTAGTTCAATTTGACAATAATTATAATTTAACCCTAAAAATTTGAAAAAAAATCCAGAATGGTCCCTGGAGCATAATGAGATATTATGGACAGAATTGAGGATTAAATATGATCAGAATTTCAGTATAGTCATGGATTTATGATATTTTAATTTGGTCCTCCAATTTGACAAAAATTATAATGACCCTAAACAATTTGGAGAAAATTTCAAAATGATCCCTGGAGCATAATAAGATATTATGGATATAATTGAGGATTAAATATGGTCATAATTTTAGTATAGTCATGGATTTATGATATTTTTAGTTTGGTCCCTTAATTTGACAAAAGTTACATTTTGACCCTTAAAAATATGATAGATCCCAAATTGGTCCCTAGCTGTAACATTAGCTTTTTCAGATTGGTTTGATGAATAATTAGGAGTTATTTAGTGAATTATTATGAATTTCATTATTTATTTATTATGAACTAGATTTCAAAAAAACCATTAAATTTTGGGTTTTTGAGAAAATTGATTAGTTAGTTGAAAAACATATAGAGTTACGAAATACACAATTAGTTAAGTGTATTAAATAGGTTATATGTTCTTTCAATTTGTTCTTGAATATGTCTTATTTATATTCAAATAATCCAGATATTCTATCAGCAGGATGTCAGTAAGATTTTCTTTGGTGTCTGCTTTTGACTTCTATTTGCTTTTGAGTCAGGTGAGTTGATAATTTTCCATATGCATGAGAAATATTATAAATATTTGATTTGTTAATATGAATTGGATCATGCTTCTTGATAATATACATGTTGATTATTATTCTTATTATGATAAAGCATGATCAGTTGTTGAATCTGAATTCTTGATATGAACCGATATATATTTTGAATCGGCTTCTGAATTGATAGCTCCTCATTTAATTGATGTCATGAGTTGAGTTTTGAGATATAACTATGTTTGTTTGGTTATGATTATGAACCTATTGTATGCTAGTCAACATACACATGCTAACAGGATAGTATTAGTCTTTGTGCACATCATATTTGAACCCTAATTAGTCGGAGGAGTCACCAACCTGTGTGGACTAATCATCCCACAATACGGAGCCTCATGCTTATTATATTTTGATTTTCTGACGAACTTTACCTTATGATATTTTTGTTATGCCTATTTGGGGAACCTTACTATAAGAACCTACAGCCAATTATTTATTTATTTATTTATTTATTT